TCCTAATTTTTTAAATTATTATTTTTCATTCTAATTTGGATTTCAATTCTTTTTTTACAGATGAAACGAGTTCGTTGTGCTCTATAAAATGAGATCCACTTTCAATATAATTCGAGAAAAAAAAAAAAAAAAAGATTATGCCACTCATACCATTCGTTACCACCTTCGTACCATATGGTATCTCCTTCATATTAGGTCGATTTTGAAAATTTTATACAGAAGGAACGAGTTCATCATGATCTATTGCATCTATAAATTTTTCGGGAAAAAAATACAGTTAGTATATTTCTAGTATCATGTATTCAACCATTTTCCAGTCCTGTATGTTCATATTATCATGATACACTTCTATACCACGTGTTATACTCTTATATAATACCAAACAATACCACCATAGTATAGAATAGTACTAAATGTCTCAAAAGATTATTCCAAGATAATTTGTGATTTGCTTCAATTTTCTTGAGTTTTCTAGATTGGTGTTGAACGATTTGTATAGTTAATTTGTGATTTGCTTGAATTTCTAGAATGATGTTTTAAATATGGATAATTTGTATTGAGGGATTGATATTTGACTTTAATTTTGATAGGAGCTTGTTATTGTAAATTTTTTACGAAAAAAACCCGTGGGTACCCATGAACCCGCGGATACCCAGCGAATTGGGTTGGGTTTGAGTTTTTCAATTTATTTATTTATTTATTTTTAATTATAAAAATAATATTATGTGAGAAAAACCTTGGTTAACATTTTGACCTGTTGAATAAAGTGAAGAAAAGGTCAACGAATTTGTGATGACAGCTTATTATATCATTCATTTTCAGCATGGAAGACAAAATGGAAGCTTTAAGCCGCCTGGGTCATGCAATGGCAAAACAGAATCAAATTTGAGGAGACACATATTAGCTAGCTAGGTACATGAATTTCCTCCTTAACCTCATAACCGCCTCACCGCCCAATCACCCTCAACTCGGACTTCCCCTTAACGTCAAAATCACCTTTCTCCATTTCTCTCAATTTCACTAATCTCCCCTCACCGTTGACATTTGCCTTTCATCCATTATCACTTTGAATTTTACAAAACATATCCGCCTTGCTTCCTGTCGGGATTCAAACCCATCCACATCCATTTTTTTGTCTTTTCTCGTTACATGCCAAAGCCTCATCACAAGCACAAATAAGAAAGAGAAACCGGACATCTGTTTACAACCGAATTTTGAGATGATGGAACACATCATTTCAACCTGGTTTGATTTTATGGAGCATCCATCTCTCTCACGTTATTTGATAATTACTTCGATTATATCACGAAAATCTCGAAAGTTATTGATAGAAAGTAACTGATACTCTGAATGCTGAATGAAGAGAAAATTACTTCGATTATACACACGTCAAATACCAATCGTGATGCTTTTCCTATCTAGGCCCCCAATTCAAATGCAATTTCATCTGCATGTCTCTCTGTATGATCATCAAGTTTGACTTTGATGGAAAACTTGAAAAGGGGGTTAAATGAAACCTAATTTAGACAGTGTTTCCGTGGCAACAACTAACAAGACGCAGGCAATCTATTTACCTATGTCACCAACGCACCTACTCATCAAACAATTGCAGCTTTGAATTGGCTAGCTTGCTAAGGTGAACAGAAAAATGGTTACAACATCCGACTAGTAATTATTTAAGCATGGATATGAATGTTCCAAACAGTAAAATATTTTGTGTATCACTTAAGAGAATTGAGATAATCATATTACTTAAATTAAAATAGGGCGTCGGGTATCACAAAACTCACTATTTTGTGCATTGGGTATCACTTAACTTGGTGTTAAGTGCATCTATTAGAATTGATAGAAAAGGTTGCAAGATGCTGAAAAGGCTGCAAGATGAATGCTGGGAGAGTGAGGTGGTTATGGTGATGGTGAAGGTGGACTTGGAACACCTTGGAGCAGGAACCCCAGTCGGTTAAGTTCTTCACCAGTGAGATGCATATTGAACACATTTGCACTAGCATGTTGATTAAGATTTCCATGGCTCATAGTTGAATGAGACTCATGTGATACATCCTCCTCATCATTTACTGCCCCAATTGAACACATTTGCACTAGCATGTTGATTAAGATTTCCATGGCTCATAGTTGAATGAGACTCATGTGATACATCCTCCTCATCATTTACTGCCCCAACAAACCGAGAATTACCATTTCCAAATTTTCCTTGATTCTTCCTCTTTAGTCTCCTTTGTTATGATAGTCTTTTTGCAATATCTGCAAAATAGTACAGTCTCACTTGCTTCCATGTTGTTTTGTCTTTGAACATGTCTATTGTTTGGTCCTAGACTTTGACTGACCCCTTGATTATGAAGCCCTTGATTAGACTGGTTCTATAAGCAGCTAAAGTAACTGACTGTGCTCCTTTCCTTTAGAAGATTTGTTGTAAAAGATCTCCATATTCAACCACCATTGTAGGTAGTGGTTTTGTCATCAGTAAATGTGTTTTGACAAACACATAATAGAGAAAAGTAGGGAGAGATACAAGTATACGAGATGTTTTGTCATCAAGTTTGGTCTATTGCTTTACGTCTCCGTTCAAAGGTGGATTATCCTTTAAGGCATAATGTCTAGGTTTTTATCTTATTTCCAATCTGACTACGAGTTGAGTCCTTTTAGGTGGAACTCAAATCTTGACAATAATATAGCAATATACCCCTTTCTCTTCCTCGCAAGCACGCATGCTAAAGAGAGAAACCTCACAGTCACTCAAGTAAAACATATAGTGAACTCTTATCACTTCTGAATCGTGTTGCTAATTATAGAGTGTTTGATCTTGCTTTTGTGTATGATTGTTTCTGCCACATTCCGTGATACTTGTCTTGTTACTTCCTTCTATTTATAAATCCTTAATGTAACGGTCTACTCTTGATCTTCACTTGATCTCGGAGATTCTTTCCTGAAATCATATATTCATAGATATGGCAAGCAATAATATAATTTTACCTTTGCAAAAAGGGTGTGGAAGGAGAGAAAGCATAAAATGAGACTACGACTAGTGGGACCAAGTCAAGTTTAAAAGATAAAGATCACAGACATGTGGTGAACCAGATAAAGAGAAAGAAAGCACAGGCAAGATAGATACATACAATAGGGTAGGGGGAGGTTTTTCCAAAAAACAAATGTCCTAATTCAGGTTGCTTTTAAACCAAAAAAGTGGAACTATAAGGCAAGCCCATTTTTGACTCATAGGCCTAGCCCACTCCCCCTTGTCTCAACCTACCGCGCACTCCCTAAAAGCCCAAACCTAGACTCATCCTGCCACTCCAGAGACCCAATCTGACCCTCCTAACTAATCATACACATTTCAATTTTGACAGACAGAAAGACTACCACAAAATCAAATCTCTAACCCTAAATTGTGTAGCCATATCGTGTCTCACTCTCTATGTTCTCTCCTCTCTTGTGGATGGCCACTTCATCGAAAAGATTCATCTCAATACCTCTATAGGTCATGTCTCCACCTACTGCGCACTCCCTAAAAGCCCAAACCTAGACTCATCCTACCACTCGAGAGACCCAACCCGACCCTCCTAACTGATGATACATATTTCAATTTTGGCAGACAGAAAGACTCTACCACAAAATCAAATCTCTAATCCTAAATTGTGTAGCCAGATCGTGTCTCACTCTTGCATTTCCCATACTCACTCTCTATGTTCTCTCCTTTCTTATGGATGGGCACTTCATCGAAGAGATTCATCTCAATTCCTCTAAAGGTCATGTCTCAGCCTACTCGGCACTCCCGAAAAGCCCAAACCTTAACCCATCATGCCAATCGAGAGACCCTACCCGACCCGACCCTCCTAACTGATCATACACATTTCACTTTTCACAGACATAGGGACTCTAGCATAAAATCAATTCTCTAACCCTAAATCGTGTAGCCAGGTCGTGTGTCACTCTCGCATTTCCCATACTCACTATCTCTGCTCTCTCGTTCTCTCCTCTCTTGTGGATGGCCACTTTATCGAAGAGATTAATCTCAATACCTGTTCAACTTGGAATAATCTCACACCCTAGCTCCCGCCTCGATCTCTCTTCTCATCTGGCAGTTCAGTCAAGATCCATTCCAGTTATCTAAGCTGGACTACTGCTTTGACCGAATCAGGCCACTTTCCACCCGTGCAATTAATACTCATTTAAGTTTGAGACATGAATTAATCTACCTACAAATTTAACTCTTTTTTTCGAGTGAGCCTACAAATTTAACTCTTGAACATAACTATAATGTGTGGATTACAGGGTTATTCCAAATCATCTATATTATTTAATTACCTGCCTCCAGATAGCGATCATGCTTGTGAAATATACATATGCAAGTTGTACAAATTTTTTGTTTCGTCCTTAAATTGCGCACGTAGCATAAGTATTAATAACTGGAGCTCATATATAATCTCATATCGTGTCCCCAAACAATAGCTTGAGTTCCCTTTAAAAATCCCCAGGGAACACAAACCACTTCACACTTGTCCCCATTTACATACCATACAATTTATATATTACGATTTGCAAACATCATCAGCCGCAGAAATATGCACAATACACGCATTTCCCCCAGCTGCCTCGGCAACCCTAAACAAGCTTTTTTACGAGGGAAAGGAAATGATTGTACAGCTATTATTATTATTATTATTATTATTATTATTATTATTATTATTATTATTAATACAATAGCATATATACGTGGCAAAAGAGGGCAGGCGGCACCAAATGTCTCTGACTTTGTTAGTTTAATTTCGCAGCCATTTTCCACCTTTCCTTCTCCCTCCCTTGTCCCTATATATACACAACACAACACAATCCCATCCCATCCCATCCCATCCCATCCCATCCATCCACAGTTCAACATCAACGTTCATCCTCTCCTTCCTCCGTCACAACTACAGCTGATTTGCTCCCCTTGTTCCCAAATCATCCGCCACCAGAAAACTTGTTAGTTAGCATTTCCAAGAATGGGAAGAACTCCTTGCTGCCACAAGAACGGGCTGAAGAAAGGCCCATGGACTACCGAAGAGGATCACAAGCTCACCTCTTACATCCACATGCACGGCCCTGCCAACTGGCGAACCCTCCCCAAAAATGCAGGTAACCTTACATATATATATATATATGTCCATGGCGAGATTAACAAACCATCTATATAGATGAAAACATTATTCCTCATACAACAACTTTCTCAGGTTTATTTTCCTATTGATTGTATAGGTCTTCAGAGATGTGGTAAGAGCTGTCGCCTGAGATGGACGAACTACCTCCGACCCGACATCAAGCGAGGCCGATTCGCCTTCGAGGAGGAGGAGACCATCATCCAGCTCCACAGCATCCTCGGCAATAAGTAAGCAAATCATTCATACTACTAATCACCATTTTAATTATTTCCTCGATCTGCTAAGTGTTTACTTAAAATAGAAATAAAATGGTCAGCATAAACCTAACTGTCTTGTTTTGGTAGAAAACTAGACTAATCCTCGCGGGTCAATGTGTTTGGTGAAATTTTAGGTGGTCGGCCATAGCTGCCCGGTTACCCGGAAGGACGGACAACGAGATCAAGAACTACTGGAACACCCACATCCGCAAGCGGCTTCTCCGCAACGGCATCGACCCCGTCACCCACGCTCCCCGCCTCGACCACCTCGACCTCTCCGCGATTCTCGGAAACGCGCTCTGCCACGTCAACCCCGCCGCCTCTCTCCTCGCCCTTCTCGCCGCTGCCGGCTCACAGCCTCCGCCTCCTCCCTCGCTGATCAACCCGGAGCTCCTCCGCATCGCCGCCGCGCTGGCGTCGCTGAAGCAGGAGAACCCGGAGCTGTACCTCCAACGGCTGCAGGAGAGCCAGCTGGCCCAACATCAGCAGACTCTCACGGACCCTCAAACGACGCCGTCGCAGCTGACTCAGCAGCAGCAGGTTGAGCTGGAGCGTTTCTTGGAATTAAATAATAATAATAATAGTAATAATGGTGATGATAATAGCAACTCCGGGAATGAAGCGTCCCGTCAGGATAATTTTGTTTCGCTACCGAATGACTTTGGGTTTTGGAATACGATCCCTGAACTTTCGGATTGGTATTATCAGCATAACTTGATTAGCGGCGGCAGCGGTGGAAATGTTAGTAATGCGAACTCGTCCGTTATGTCGACGCCGTTATCGAGCCCGGCGCAGGTGACGCCGACGTCGTCAACGTTCTTAAATGGCAGCTTGAGTGCCAGTACCACGACGGAGGACGAGCGGGAGAGCTATTGCAGCAGCTTGCTCAAGTTTGAGATTCCGGAGAGTTTGGAGTTACTTGATGATTTCATGTAAATAATCATCAAATAATGGATACGGTATATTTTTCCTTTTTTGTTTTCCATAATTTAGTGTTTTCTTGTTTTGTATGATTTTTTCCACACTTTTTTTTCTTCTTCTTCTTCTTTGGGAATTTACTTGATCACTCAGTGTTTATGTACACAATATATAGTTTTTATTTATTCTTTACATTTTTTTGGTCAAATGAGAATGCTATATACACATGCATATAGTTTTCAATTATATGGTATATACTTAATGACGAAAGAGCTAGAGAATTTCAAGAGGTTGGCGTGGTAATATTGATAATAATTGTATAATATCCATTTAAATGCATTTCGAAGTTATCAGAACTATATGAAGATAGCATCGAAACAAAGCATTATATTCAATAAAGAAAATAAAAAAAGAGAAACAAAGTTGAGTTGATTGACAAGTCTCTTATTGCAATCCAAATAATTTGCCCCCAACATTTGGCTCATTACTCACCCCATAATGGTCACGAATGACGTCCCGTTTAATTAACAGTACCATTTTGTAATTCACTATTAATTACCCTAGCTTACACGTTGAAAGGGGTATTAGTAGACGGATGGTATTGTGATCATTGTACACACACGACCTTGATTTCTGTTCGGTCACATCATAGTGAAACCCTATCTCGAGTTCTGCTCACTGTGTACTAGTCCCGTTTATCAGGGAAATCACTTAAATCTGTTCTTCTCTACTTCCACACTATCAAATTTTACATGGTATCAGAGCAGTGATCGTTCCATATTGATATCGATTACTGAAACATGGCAGATGACAAGAGCGATGGTTCGAGTGATAGCAAACCCGTGAATGACAGCAAGGCTGCCATCGGCAGCAGCAACGCATTACCACTCTCCTCCGTGAACTCTGGACAATTGTTTGGAGGTGATCTTCTGACCGAATTTAATTATGCTGAATGGGTTCGTGATATGACTAAAACCCTAATCACCAAGAACAAACTGGCATTCGTCAATGGTGACTTACCACGATCGGCTGTCGGCGATGCTTTGCGTCTTGATTTCTGGGATTGTTGTGATGAATTGCGAAAGGTTGGATCAAGACGACAGTAACCAAAGAGATTCGAAACAGCATGTGCGGGGCAAAGATAACTCGCGAAATTGGGGTAGATCTGCGTCAACGTTTTGGTGCTTGTTCTACCACGTGGGCTTACGAGTTGCGTAGGCTCATTGGTGCTCTTCGTCAGGGAAAGTCATCTATTTCAGCCTTCTACACTCAGCTTTGTACTTATTGGGACGAGCTTCAAACTGTAAGCATCAACCCCCATTGCAGTTGCGATGGATGCCTTTGTGATGTCACTCGACAGGCACGAGAAAAGCTTGAGACAGAGCGCTTTTGGGGCTAGATGATGCTTTTGCTATCGTGGGTACCCAAATTCTGAGTACCAAACCTCTACTTTCCTTAGCCGAGGCATATCAACTTGTGGTGGGGGACGAGCAGCAACAACAACTTATAGTTGGCTGCCTGCCTGCGGTGGAGGCAGCCGCCTTCCAAGCTAGCAAAGAGAAGCATTTAGCTACTGTAGATCCAATCCATTGTTCTCACTGCCGCAAACTAGGCCACACTAGTAAAATGTACTATCGGCTAAATGGTTTTCCCTCCGATCACGAAAAAGGGAAGCCAGGGGAACGTCAGCCAACTATTCGCAAGCAGACTGGGGATCGACACCTCGGGCAGTCCATGTCGACAGTGAAGCCAGTCCTATACATGGTCTCACTAAAACACAGTTCGCCAATTGAAAGGAGTTCTTCAGCACCTCTATGCCGAGTTCCTCCGATCCAACTGCTCATATGGCCGGTAGTAGTTCTAACCTTTACGAATGGCTTATTGATTCTGGGTGCAATGAGCACATCGTTACAGATGCTAGTTGGCTTGATCATGTTGATTGTAGTGGGCATCACTTATATGTACGAATCCAAAATGGCCTTTCATTCCTTTGGTCGGGCTGGGAACGATTGTGTTGAATGAAAAACTCACTCTACAAGGTGTGCTGCATGTTCCTGAATTTAAATGCAATCTCCTGTCTGTTAGTCGGCTCATGCAGGATCATGACGTTGCTTTATTGTTATTGGTTGGTGTCTGCGTTATCCAAGACTTACATTCTAGGATAGTGATTCAACTGGGGAGGCTCCATGACAGGCTGTATTATCTGGATCGAAGCAGTGTTGGTGTTGCTGTCTGGTGGAGTCAGGGAGGACATGCTTTTGCCTTGATTGGAAAGGATAGTTATGCACTTTTGCATGATCTGTTGGGGCACCCGTCATTTGAAAAACTTTCATTGTTGTGTGATGTGCTTAGTTCCCAGCGACGTTCATTTGATAAAACCCATTACGATCTGTGTTGGAGAACTAAACAGACACGCGTTATTTTTCATTCTATTTCTATTTCGACGCATGTTTGTTTCGACTTCATACACGTGGATATTTGGGGAGGTTATAAGACACCTTTTTTGGATGGTTCTCATTTTTTTTACCGTGGTTGATGATTTAGTCGGGCTACTTGGGTTTTCTTACTCAAATAGAAGGCTGATGTCGAGAGATGTCTTCTTTCTTTCTGTCAGATGGTGTCTACTCAGTTCGATTGCCATGTTTGAAGAATACAGGCAGACAATGTGATGGAGTTTCACACACATACTCTTTGGACTTACTATGTTATTAGTGGCATTGTTCTTCAGATGTCCTGTGTCATTACTCCACAGTAGAATGGTATTTTCAAAAGGAAACACCGCCATCTCTTAGATACTATGCGTGCCCTCTGTTTCCAGGCGGGTCTTCCGGTTCTTTTTTGGGGTGAATGTGTTTTCACGGCCACATATCCGATTAACCATCTACCTTCCTCTATGCTTGCAAACAAGACATCGTTTGGAGTTATACTCGATCTGCTTCCTATTTATACCCACTTTTGATGTTTGGCATATGCGAAGGATACGAGTGCATGCTTGGATAAGTCCACAGAAAGTGTTCTCCGATGGGTTTTCGTTGGTTACCATCTTTCATAGAAAGGCTACCAAGTCTACGATCTCCATCTTCGTCGTATTTATACCGCTTTAGATGTGCATTTCATGGAAACCATCTCTAGTTCGTGATGTGGTCTCTCTAGCGGCATGTCTTGAGGGGGATCTCGATCCCCTCGTCAAACATCATGTGGTCACCTATGTTTCTCCTTCAACCGGAGACTCTTCTTTGTCTCCCATTATGGAAGATTTCGACAAGAATGAAGATTCATATGATGCCGCTTCTGCAAATCTAGTGCTTGCCTCGGCGCACCCTGCCAGTTTCGGTGGGAATTCTACTCCGCATCCTCCTCTTCGTCGCAGTGACCGCGATTGCCGACCTCCTGCCAAGCTTGACATTTACGATGTTCATCTCCTGGGTTCCTCCACCTCGACATCATCTACGTTTCCCATCTCCAACCATATTACTTATAAATGGTTTTCCTACTCTCACCGTGCATTTTTGGTTGCTATTGCACAGGTTGTTGAACCGAAACATTTTTGCGATACAGTACAACATGCTTGTTGGATTGAAGCAATGATCAACGAGATCATGGCCTTGGAAGATAATGTAACATGGAACTTAGATTTTTTGCCTCCTGGGAAACGTGAGATCGACTCGAACTGGGTCTACAAAATCAAGTATCATCCCGATGGCTCTGTCGAACGGTACAAGGGCAATTGGTTGCCAAAGGTTTTACATAGGTGGAGGGGGTGGATTTCCATGATACTTTTGCGCCTGTGCAAATCTAGTTACTGTGCGAGTTTTTATCGTCATTGCAATTAGCAAGGGTTGACCGCTCCATCCGATGGACGTCAACAATGCTTTCCTCAATAGCGATCTTCAGAAAGAGGTCTACATGAAGGTTCCTCTTGTTTTCGCTCAAGCTGGTGACACTCGCCTCTATCGCCTTCGAAAATCGCTTTATGGTCTACGTGAGGCTTCGTGGAACTAGTACAACAAGTTTACTTTAGCTCTTGTCGAGCTCAGTTTTGTCCCTTCCCGGGTGGATCATTCCCTTCTCCTTTCTTGTCGCGGCTCGTCCTTTGTTGCATCACTCATTTATGTCAATGATGTGGTCCTCACTGGTAATGAGTATGAGTTTATCTCCCGAGTTAAGTCTTGTATACATGACTCGTTCATGAACATTAAAGATCTTGGTCCTCTGAAGTATTTTATGGGCATCGAGGTGGCTCGTTCTCCTGCTAGTGTTGTTCTTAGTCAACGCAAGTACACACTAGACATTCTTAGTGATGCTGGTGTTAATGTTGCTTGCCCTAATAAGTTCTCGATGGAGCAGAACCACACTCTCACTCGCCCTAGTACGGCTATAGATGAAGTTGTCGATTCTCACTCCTATCGCCGATTGGTGGGTCGATTCCTGTATATCACGCTTACTCGACCTGACATTAGATATGCAGTCAACATCCTGAGTCAGTTTGTTCACGCCCCTAGTCCCAAGCAGGTGACAGTGGCGCATCGGGTTCTCCAATGTCTCAAAACCTCTCTAGGTCAGGGACTTTTCTTTCCCTTTAGTGGTTCCTTAACCGTGACTGCCTACTGCGATGCATATTGGGGTGGATATCAAACTACTCGATGCTCTACCACAGGTTAATATGTCCAACTTGGTGTTGCTCCTGTCTCTTGGCGTACAAAGAAGCAACATGTAGTTGCACGTTTCTCGGTCGAAGTTGAATACCGGGACATGGCTAGTGCTGTTAGTGAAGTGATCTGGTTGTATTTTTTGCTTACCGAGTTGGGTTTTCCGCAGCCTGCTGCTACACCCCTCCATGTGACAACCAGACTGCTCTCCACATTGCTGTCAATCCCGTCTTCCACGAGCGCACCAAGCATGTTGAGATGGATTGCCACTTTTTCCGCAAGCGCGTCGTTGCTGGTGATATTGCGCCTCTGAAGATCAACTCGATCGTCTTCCCAGTTGGCGGACCTGTTCACTAAAGCTTTGCGTGC